TGCATCCTTCCAATTCGCCAAACTCGCAGCTTTTAGCGAGTACCCGCAGCTCCGTTAACCAGTCGTAAAAGCTTTCACCGTCTTTCTGGTCAAGCTTTGCGAAACGGAACTCGTGATAGGCTAGATTTAGCGCTGGCTTGTAGAAAGCTTCAAATTTTCCTTTAAGTACTTCGACGTCGCTTTTTTCCTCGTTAGCTTCAAACACTAAGGTGCTATACGTTTTGCGTGCGTCTTCTCCAATACTGATAAGAAACGTGGCTGCCTGTACCTCTTCGGCTGCTGGTCCAAGTAAGTTGCAGTTGCGAAGAGCTTGAACTCTTGCCTCCACGTCTTCCAACTCTGCCAGACGTCTCCTGTTGTATCCAGGGGTTTCAGGGGAGGCAGTAGACTGGCAGCTGGCGACGTTGTTGGTCTTCGAGCGCCATGTCTCTGGTCCGGTGACTGCTCCGCCCGGGCTAGCGTGCTACCCGGTGGCTCTTTCGGTGTCGGTTCCGTACATTGGCCGTGAACCGCCTACTTCTGACACCATGTATCTACGACAGCGTCTCGTGTGAAATAGGTGCTTTATTCCAGGAAATTGGCGTTGATACAGATCTCGGAGGTGGGCGTATAGTCCCTCGACTGATAAGTGCGTGTGCGTAACTGTGCACTACGTCACATTGATGATAAGGACATTGTTTTGTGGGTTTGACCACGTGTTCTCTTGTATATGTACTCTGCATTTGAAAATGCTTTCAACAAAGGAGATATCTGCGCAAAACGTCGTTGACAATGATGGTATTGGGGGTTTGAGCGCTCGGTCTCTTGTGAATGTGTATTGTCTTTGTATTTCAAAATGCTGTTAACAAGGGGGCTATCTATGTGTGTGGGTATAGTATATATAGGATGCTGGGTGGATATAGTATATTATGCACTATACCCACACACATGTATAGGATGCTAGTGAAATGAACCAGTTAGTTGTGTTTGAGACGTTCCCTTCTGTGTCTGTTCCTTCGACTAAAAGTCTTTCATTTTCTGCACCACAGTCCCAGGTGTTGAACGACATGATTGTAACTCGCTTTGATGATAAGCGCCTTCACGGCACTCATTGGCCACGAATGCGATCCCAAATATTCATCAACGGATTGATCGTTGGCGAGCACACACGTCTGAGTGACGCAGTGGTCGTTCCCAATGCGTGAGCTCGCTTCGGCTGACGTGCTTTGGGTACCGCGGATGTATCACAGTGAAAGGGCGGATAGTTTTCGAAGGAAAGAAGGTGCGAAGTAGTCCGCTATATCTTCAAATTTAGTACCGATAAAAAGGCTATGGCTATCTACCGTCTTCCTCTCGGCCCACTGAACGTTATACGATTAGTAAAATCCCAATCTAAAACTATTCATCCCAGCCATTGCCTGGCCTTGCTGTCAGTGGCCATAAGACAGCGCGTACAGCGAATCCAGGAGGAAAGCTCACTGGAGAAAAGATCGCCGGAGATAAGCTCAAAGGAGAAAATCTCACACTTTTCTGCGGGTCCGCAAAAAAGCTCACCAGTGATTTGACAGACACGGATAGAAGCTCACCTCGAATTATAATTATTATGTGAAGTGCTCGTTATCATTTATATGTAATATATATATAATAGCAGTAGTGCTGATAAGGTTTTACGCTTCTCTCACGCAGACGGTACACCGTGCCAGAGAGCTAACGCGAAGCGATATCTCGCATTGTACTTAAAGAAGGAGTTGATCAGCGTCAAGCGTTTATCGCCTAAGTTTGTGCTCCGAGTCAGCAATTTCCACCGCACTAATAGTTTTAATAGCAACCCCTAAAATGTAAGAAAAGAAGTTCATCGTTTGTTTATGTTAACGGGTCACGCAGCGTACAGACTTCACATCAGGTCGCTATGATTTGGACACAATATAAAATAATAAAAATTATTACAAATAAGAGTTCTCGTTTTAAATTAAGATCAGACTAATACCCCTGTTGCTAAAAATATTGATGATTTATCACACTATGCCTTTTTAAAACACAGAAGGTTTTTCGTAAATTTTTTTTAATCAGTGGAAACAATGCGGAAAGAAGAATTACCCCAAATATCACAACTTTTATTTTTGACATCGGCTCCGATTGGACTTGAACTGAAACTAAATATAGAACAAAATCAGCTTAATTGTTTATAGCAAAAGCTGTATCGACTTCTTTTTTCGAAATTTGATTTTCCAGCAATACAACATTACTTTCTAAGTTTTCGTTTCCATCCTTTCCGTTCTAAATTCATTGTAAAAAGATGTGACGTAATTGACGAAGCAAATTGGAGTTAAAAATAAAGCTCAACGCATTGATTTGCTCCAAACACCACTGCTTTTTGCTCGTGTTCAGTACGATATAAATCTTTCTTGTGTTCTATGATTTAAATAAAAAAAAAACATATGGCATTTAACAAAGCATCATATTATATATATATATAAAAAAAGAAGACAATTTTGAGATTGTTTTTGCGGCTAAAGTTTGATTTTAATCATCATAGTGAAGCCGATCTGTTTAAGTCATTTTATTTTCGTTCTTCACCCTGGCTCTCGCCCTTTTTCCACTTTTATGTCGACCCATTTTGCGTGTGTGCTAGCATATTTATTTTGACCTAGCCGCGATAGAGGAAGTACGATCTTTTGATTTTCCGTTGAATAAGGCAAGAATCAAAGCGTCTGCTTCATAAATGGCGAAATGTGGATATTTGGCAATGCGGTGTTATTATGCTACGAAAATTATCTCTACAGAAGAGAATATCTAGAAACTACTTAAGCTGCAGCCCTCTACATCGGTTATATTCCCAACCCCCTTAGTTTTTTGTTGTTTTTTTGTTTTTTAATTTGCGTGCTATTGAAATTATTTATTTTATTTTTGTCTGGCAATACCTGACCTGCAAAAGGATGTTTTTATATGTTAAAAATATATTCTGCTATACTCTGTTCAATCTTAAGTTGTAAGTAAAAGCTCCGCCTTCAGCGCGAGCTTGCTGGCTTCCGCAGCGCTTTAGTTGCGTGTACCTGCGCGTGCACGCTTCTGTTGGCAAAGGCAGAAAGCTCGCGCTGAAGGCGGAGCTTCAACATTCAGCTGAAGGGTGAAAGGAGCCTATTGAAGTGCAGAATGACCCTATGCGTATGATGCATTCCCGCATACTTCAGTTGAGTGAACGTATTTCACTTGAGTAAACGCTCGATTCTTAGATTTTGTAGGGGAGCTTTTCTCCGCATCCGTCAAAAGGCCGGTGAGCTTTTCTCCGCATCAGACAGTTTTGTGGTGAACTTTTTTCTTGTGAGCTTTCCTCCAGTGAGCCTATCTCCGGTGAGTTTTACTGCGGTCAGCTTTTATGCGCCGCCCCGTATAGTTTCGATAATAATTCAAGATTGGGTCCTCGAAAACTAACGGCATATTTGGTTTGGTTCTTACACTGACTTTAGATACTGCCCTTCTACGTGAAGGAGCATTTCGCTGAATTTCCTGGATTTTCCGGGCTCTTCCTCGCTGGAGTTGTTGCTGCGGCCACCAGGTATTAAGCACAGCACCGGAGGAATCGTATAAATCAAAATAAAACGTACTAGCGCACGATTAGAACAAGACACGCAATGAGGAGCAATTATAATAAAAGTCCTCTAAATTAAGATATTTTAGGTGCAATGGTACAATATAAATTGACATTGAACGTTGAAATTTACGCTGTATCGTACGAAATATCACTCAGCTTGGTGGGGCTTTGTGTGGCTTTATATGCGTGTCAGTTATCAAGTGCGATTTTTTTAAATACAAAGCGTGCATCTGTCCAGTGAACCTTGTTATCGCTCCATTAAGATTGCTGCATTATCAGATAATAATTCCATAGAGTGAATGGCTAACCAAGGACCGTGAACACATGTCACGCCTACTTTTTAAAGTGAGTGTATAGCAGAAATAATCTTCTGACTCTTGGAGTATCCGCACTACCGAGCAGCACTGACTAGTGTCTGCAAATCTTAAGATGTGTTGAACGTGCGTAGAATTTACTCCATTGTCCCCATGACCTCTTAAAACGTCAAACACTCTAGCTTTGTCGATGGTACACTATATCCCGATTGCAAATATTGCAGTTTCTACCCAAAAAATTGTATTGCGTAGAATTAGGGTTGCCGATACTGTTAGATGCTCATAAAGAAGTGTTATGTTTCTTTTCTTTTCCTCTAGCTCGTCGTACAACTTTTAGATACCATACATATAATTATTATAATCAAGCTAGTATAGGGCTATTTAATACGGTACAAGATAGACGAAGAAAAAACAATATCACCGGATATGAAGCCCAGCGCAGACACGTCGTATTGAAGCTCGTCGAATTGAGACAATTAAAAAATATATACAACATATTTAAACCTGGCACATGATTCAAATTTTTTTTAAACACAATGTAGCCATACTCCAGTATCAGATGTGTCAGAAGTATCAGGTAAACATGCAGGAATGTATAATTGGTAAAAATTACATAATTTTACAAGGTATGATACGTTTATTGGACAAAGCTTATGAGAAAATGTCCTCTTTTCAAAACTGTATAAGGCTCTACCGGAATGCCGCAAGTGATCAAAAGCTCGTTGAGGTTAAAGCCTGATATCCCAAGATGGTCGAACTATTTCATACGTATTTAGTTGATGCTCTTCAATTAGGCATATACATTTTCGAAGTTTCATTTTCCAATCAGAATTTGTAGTTCGTGTGATTCTACAGATGCAATTTCCGATTACCGCATTAGCCGACTGAACTATTTAAATTGCAGCACAATATCGTCCATCATCAATTCCCAAGCCGCTGTGCTGTATACTGACGTTGTGTCGCAGTATTTTACACTTACCGAACTTCAAGCCACGAGGGTAACGAGATGCCTGGGTACGAAGCTTTCTTGCACACATCAACTTGTGTGTCATTCCTTTGATAATGACTAGCTCTTGGTCTTTTTTGTTCAAACAGCGCTTGCAGCCGGCACCGTCATGACACTTTACAGTGCTGCTATACCTTACATGGGATCTGCAAGCAGGGTAAGTTGCATTTTCACTGTAGCTAAATATACAGAGAGCAAGGACAGAGTATCCTCTATCCGCAACAGAGCGTTTTTATTCAATTTTTTTTAAGGTAAAACATTTCTGCCTTATAGCGCGTAACGACGTTAAACATTGATCGAATAATATTTTATGTCAGATACAAATTACTCCTATATACCCACGTTCAGTTAATCTGCGTTTTTATAAAAGTGGAAAATGTTGACATGATTGATGCACTTAAAACATAAGCGTCTTAACAACGAAAAGGAATTTTAGGTCCTTGAATAGGCAGAATGACAATACAGCTTTATTAATATCGCCTCGGGCTTTTAGAATTTTGAGAACGCCACTAAATGTCGTTCAGGACATTTTTCGTTGTTGGCATTGCCAGTGAATGTAAGACAACACAACCAGAGTGAAAGCGAGGTTTTAATTCAGAAAACCATAATTTCTCACTGGGTGCACCTAAGGCAAGGGTGTAATGCTACCTCGCGCTGAAAATGTGATGTATAAGGTCGTTAAGTATAAAATACCCAATTTATCCCTTGCAATTTTAAATATTCAGCTAACGTTAACAGAACTAATATTTGTTAAAACAATTAAAGTTTGTTTGTTATTTTAATTTCGTTGTCCAGCAGGAAAGAGAGTATTTTCCTCATCTGGGGTTCGTAGTAGAAGAGGAGGATAAGGAAAACTCAGTTGTTATTCTAGCGGTCTGTATGGTATTCTCTTTGTGTGTAAGTTTATTTAAGTTCAGCTGGCCTTATCTGAAGTATGAACCAACTAGCTCAGCTTAATCCCGTCGCACCTTTTCGAAACACTGTTTGCGGTTATCTTTTTATAAGTACGAAGGAAACGACGACTTATCTTGTATATCGGATCATCATTTCAAAGATAGTGAGTATTCGTGGCGCTCAATCTGTTTTTCACCTGTCACCTCTAGAAACAGAGAAAATATTATATGCTGCTAACATTTTCAAGATTGTCATTTTCACACTCAAGCATCCTGGCCACATTTTATGAGAAATTCAACGCTAATACTGAGATCCAGTAAGATTTAAAGGCGTCCAATCGCACGGGGACACTTCGGCTTGTAGTGTTGTGGAAGACTCGTATAATATTATAGGGTGGCTTGGCATATTTTATGAACATCCGCGTTTTATTTACACGCATCCGCCGTGAGACTTAGTAAGTCAATCTACGTTGAGGTCAATACAATGATAATAGGCCCTTTTTATACACTATATAAAGTCACAACTAAAACAGGATATTTCTGAGGTCTTAACATATATGGCCCCTTTTCAAACAAGAACTCCATTCGAACCTTGTGAAGCCAACGGAGCTGAGAGTCCTCTGATTCCGGTGCGTTGTCTTCCAGCTTTTCAATAGAAACGAGCTTCTTTAGAGAACTACTGATCAATGATTGTATTACCACTTCAAATGTGTTAGGCACTGAAAGTTTTGTAATATTTAGAGCCAACGCCACAAAGTTTTTTGTTTGTTATTTTTTTGCAAGTGCACGTCTGGATATACAGTAACTCTATGCTGCTCATCTCTTTTCAACGGTGTGATCTCCAAGAGGAGCTTCTTGGCCTTACAACAGCGTAGAGGCTATAATTACATCCTTACCCCAATAGATAGCTCTCGCATAATTTCTGAAGAAAATATTATGTCTCTTCAGATATTTATGATGGTGTACAGCGCCGTTACTGGGCCTTTCGTCGGTCTCTTTCTGATGGCGCTCATTTTTCCATGCGTCAATAGCAAGGTAAGTGATAAAAGGCATGTAAGACATGCCATTTATTATCAGTATCATGATCATCATCACAATCATCATTGTCCATTATCCTTGAAGGCCGTTACGGGCATTCCCTAAGGAAATTGTACTTTTTTTTTTTAAACACAATATTTTGGCACGCAATTTTAACACAGTAGAAGAGGGACTTAGTAGGTTAAAACAGATATTAAAGAAGTGACAGAGGCAGCAAATGTATGCGTGTCAGTTATAGTAACAACGTCGTTTAATAGTTGGTTACAATCGTTGCTGGCCAAGGGTAAAGTTGAATCATTATATGAAGTAGCTGACGGGAAAAAATGGGCCTCAAATAGGAATGGTCAAAGCGAGGAAAAATCTGCCACAGGGGTAAAAGCGGCGATTCACAAAGAGGCATGATATGGTGAATGATAAGGTGAAGGAGAGAGAGAGACGGGACACTCGGGCCTTGATGAAGGTGTGTGAAGGTTAGCAGTTCCACGCAATCCAGATTTGCTATTGAATGATGAGTAATAAAAAAAAAATAAACGCAGAGCTCTGTTTTGGATGGATTCAAGTTTTATAAATAAGAAAGATTGTCACAAGCGAATTCAAGCATAGAAAGACCTTAAGGTAAGTATGCTAGTTGTTTTATCTTTGGTGTTGCGGGTTTCAGGTTTCGGCGCAAAAAGCCGAGGGAACAGTTTTCGTGTGCTACATATATCATTTAAGGTCATCTGCCATTGAATGCACCATCGAATAATTAGTTTAATATCTGTTTGCAAGCTATGGTGATCGTCGGGCGAGTGAATGGGCCGGTAAATTACGCAGTCGCCTGCAGTTACGCGAAATAATGACGATATGTGCTGATAAATTTCATTAATGTACATTTAAAAAAAATAAGGGCCCGAGTACACTGCCCTAAGGGCGAGGTTACCGCGCACGAGGGGGATTTATAATTATTAATGGCGGTACTCAATGCGGTTGGTAACGAATTTGGCCATTATACAATACCGGGTTCGATTTTAAATTCGTTAAGTATTATTATAAGACGTTGATAAGGGAGCCTATAAAATGCTTTGGAAAAATCGAGACTAATGGCGACAGTTTGAATTTTTGTATTAAAGCCTGCTTGAATATCATGAAGAAACGCCGTTAGTTGGGTTTCACAGGAGTATGCTTTCTGGAAACCATGTTGGTGATTAAAATAATGGTTCTTATCTTCTAAATAATTGATTATACTAGAGTAAAGTACGAGTTTCATTAGCTTAGACGATACGCTGCTTAGGTAGATGGGACGATAGCTTTTAATTAGTTGGCGGTCAGCAGATTTGAAAACAGGGGCTACGTTGCCAGATCCCCAATCCTGAGTAATTTAAAAAAAGAATAAGTGACGGGGAAATTGTGTCACAAACGCAAGCTACGGATGTGTGTTTTGTGTTTATTAGAATCTTAGAATTGATTTCTTCATCCCCTGAGCTGGATGAAAGCTTAAAGTTCTCGATTGCTTTTAGGACGCCGGAATATTCAATGGTGATGGACCCCATCAGAGTGTGCAAAAACTGGCGCGAGACGAGAGTATTCAGGAGGTTTTCATCTGTAAAGACAGAACTAAATAAATTATTACGTGAAACAGCACTTCGGTGATTGGACAGATTATGCCTGCTGTCGTCAGTGAATTGTAGGGAATAACAATCTTCAAAAAAATGTTGGCTTGTTAACCAAAATGTTAGAGAGGTCCCGAATATATAATTTTGTTTTTGCTTCATTTGTAGCTATTTTGTATCCTGTTGCACACGAGTGGTATTTGTCGCAGTCTTCCAGTGTGTCGCAGCACTTAACCCGTCTATAAAGCCTATTCTTTTTGTTGGAGTGCTTATGAAAATTTTGTTATACCACGGATTGTTGCTATCAGAGATAACACGAGTGAGTGGCAGAATACACTCAGTGATCTCAATTAGTTTGTGTTTGTACAGAGTCCAGTCAACGTTGACAGATCTTTCCTCAAACCATTCGAGAACGTGCCGTAAGAGTGTTTTAGCTGTGAGTTGACAGGGGTATAGCCGGCACTTGAGTAATCGCGAATCACTTTAGTGCAGCGTAATATATGAGTAGTGGTGAGGGAGAGTGTTAATTCAATAACAAAATGGTCACTAATGCAGGATACGTATATGACATTACAGGTAAGGGCTAGCTCATCAGTTAGGTGCAGGTCCAGCACATTGCTACAGTTTTTGGTAGTTCTGGTTTTTTTAGCGATAACGTGTGAAAGATTAAAGCCAAGGCAAAACTCAACAGAAGCACCGGAAGAAGCACTGCCGGAGGAAAGGGCAGTCGAAGCAATATCTGGGCAATAAGGCTCCATTAAGAACAAGTGTGGCACTAGGATAAAACGCTGTAAGTTGAAACAGGCATTTATGAAGCTCAGTAACTAAATCATTACTACCATCTGGCGGCCTGTAGCATGCTCCCGTTATAATACTTGGTTTAAAAACGAGGCATACTCCGATGGTTGCCAGCCTTGTTTCTACCGAGATAAGCTTTGATGGGATTCACTTATTGACGGCGAAAAGAACACTCCCTTCTCTCCTTCTGTCTCGGCCGGAAAAGTAGAGATGGAAACAAAAATCTGGAGGAAACAATTCTGAGTCAGCGATATCAGGGTTTAGCCACATTTCAGAAAGAAAAACAAAATCCGCTTTCGAATGTTTCAAACACAGAATGCGCATCTTCCCTTTAAGGTATAAGATTTCGAAGGTTTGTGAACAGTATAGAATGTTCAATGATCAGGTCCACTGATCTCTATTTTAGTAGGCTGGATCGCGGATCGGGAGCCCGTCAGTGTCGCCACCGGCGACCATTGCTTGACACCAGGCAATACACCGAAGTCTATGGGAGAAACGCACAAAAGCAAGAATATTGAAGCACGTACGCTGTGCTCGGAGGCGATTATTTTATGGTGCGCTGGGATCCTTATACCGGGTGTTTGGAGATTGAATCGGTATTTGTGAAACGTTCGGTCGCCGAATAAAAAAATCAAACGTATCGGAGCACCTACGGCTGAGCTGGCAAGCTTGCCATCGTAGTGGAGTAAACAAAGGAACTTGCCGTCAATGGACCGTCCTCGGGGAAGCCCAGACGTTGATGAATGACAAAGAAGTTCCATCTTGACAACGGCTTTCCGAGAGTGAGCGAATTCCGCGTACCAAAGCCTTTGGGCTTGTCGTCTGCTAAACCCAACTCAACGAAGCCGCCACCGACTCCGCCGTAACTCTAGGTAACTCGCACCATTGAGCTGCATTACTGCGGAGTCACTCTCGACCACAAAATATTTATTTATAAGAATTTTGAGGGCTGTCAGTTTTAATGTTTGTACGCAAGCTATTAGACGGGCTTATCGAAAAGCATCTAAAAAGTTTCAGTACCGAGAACAGCTTAGAAACAGGGGAAAACGGCACTTTTTCTCGTTTTCCCCGTAGGGTCCCATGCATTAGCTGGTGTCAATCAATGGCCGCCGGTGGCGACACTCGGCCCCAGCTGCCGAGGCTGCGGTCCGCGATCCAGCCTACTACAATAGAGATCAGTGATCACGTCACACATGCGTCCAACTCTGCACGACAAAACTTGATGAGGGCGTGGCGGGAAAGGGAAGTGCTGGACACGCCTGTTTCTTTTCTCAAACCAAACTTTGTACAGAGTCAAATATAAAGCACCTGCCATCCATCAGCAGCTGGTGAAGTCTAAACAGCAAACCTTTTAATCCGGAAAATTCGAGCAGTTTGCGGCGAGCGGGTCGGACAGATACCGGGAAATCCTCACTTAAATCAAAATGCGTGTTGTATAGTTTGTATACTGATGACATAAGACTTTCTTTTTATTTAAATGAGGAGAACTTAGGAGCAATGGGGCGACACGCTGGTTCATTGTGAAAGCCCAAACAACACGCTCTTTCAATTCTGATAGGGTCAACACGTATGCAGAGTTTTTCGGAACACAGTTCGACCACCTAACCTTCCGATTGATACCAAATTTCCTTACCTTTATCATGGAGACTGAAAAATAACAGGAGTGATTGACGGAATATCTCCTCCGCGTCATCCCACCGGTTTTTTAGATTAGTCAGATCTCGTAGAGCGGCCGAAAACTAAGGATTTTCACCTTTGCCAGTGTCCCTGTCCTTCAACTTCATTGAAGCTACGTCATTATCTACCTGAGGGTTTTGTCCTGTAGCTGTTAAAAGAGTCCCATTGGTCTGTTTTAGCCTTAGAATACCCTGTTCGGAAACCGATAAGAGGATTTAATCAATTTGGTTTAGCTTCGTCTTGAGTTCGACTACTTCTTATCGATGTGTGGTTCAAATTTTTGAGTTTTAGGACTTTGTCTTTCATATCTTTCACAAATAAATCTTATGCGAAATTGCTAGGCGGTCTGACAACACTGAGAGCGTCGCCATTTTAATGTTGGCAAACGTTGCCGGTACCAAAGCACGGTGGAGGCATCGGAGACAACCGTACGGACAGTGTGCGATGGCGTGGAAGAGTATATAGGCCTCCGAGAGCTTTGTCAGACAGTTGCGGTAGGTTGTTTGAACTGTTCGTCCACATTCCATGGTCGAAAGGCGGAAAACACAGCTGCCGCATCATCGCACACTGCCCTTACGGTTGTCTCCGACGCCTCCACCGTACTTCAGTACGGACGATGCTTGCCAACATTAAAATGGCGATGCTCTCAGTGCTGTCACATCACCAAGCAACTTCGCATAAGGTCTATTCAACGTCAACCTCCGACACAGGGCCTGAGCTTGTCTCTACATCACCGCACAAAAGAAGCTACAAAATTTAAAATCAATCGAAGCACGCTTATAGCCATGGAAGCTTAAAAAGCCCAACATTATTCGACCGGAATAATTTTTCTAACCTGCAATACGAAGACGAAAAACTCGCCGAGGACACTTAAGACTACTTACGTATAGGAATGCTACACGCAGCGCATTCTTACAAGCAGCGCGCCACCTC